GATACTATGTCATTACCTTCACTAACATGTTACTGCCACATCACTACTATGCCACTACCACATCACAACTTTTCACTACTATATCATTACCACATCACTACTTGCCACATCCACATCACTAACTTGTTACTACTGTGTCATTACAACATTACTACTTGCTATGTCCACATCACTACCATGTCACTACTATATCACTACCTCATCACTATCATTTCACTACTATGTCATTAACATATCACCACAAACCACAACCATGTCACTGCTATGTCATTATGACATCACTACCATGTCACCACTGTCACTACCATGTCATTACCACATCACTACCATGTCACTACATCACTACCATGTCACTACTGTCATTACCACATCAATACATGCTTCCACCACATCACTAACACAACACTGTCACTACCACATCACTTTAATGTCAATGCCACATTACTACCATGTCACTACTGTGTCTTTACCACATCAAAACCATGTGAATGCCACATTAAAACCATGTCACACTATCATTACCACATCACTACCACATCAATATTACACCACAACCATGTCACTACTATGCCTTTACCCTATCATGACCATGTCACTACATTACTAACATGTCACTACTGTCATTCACAGATCATTATATGTCACTACCACATCACTATGAGAACACTACTATGCCACTAACACATCACTACCATGTCACTGTTGTCATTACCACATCGCTATCATGTCAATAATACACCACCACCAAGTGACTACTATGTCATTACCACATCACTGCCTTGTCAGTACCACTTGACTAGCATGCCTAAAAGCCACATAGACAAAAATCATATAATATATTTTACCACATTGTGCACAAACACATGTTACTGGATGAGGATTTTAAGGTCCCGCTTGATATTTTTCTAATAAATATGTAGAAACATATTAACAATACATGCAACAACAATGTAACTACTAGTGATGTTACAGTTTATGTAAACACACACATATAAACTTAATTTCGTACTCATGTAAATAAATGTTTTCAATTACATTTGTTACAATCAGGTGTAATTGTACTACAGAAAAGATGCTGATACCACTATCAAGATACACTTGTGTGATTTCATGAGTAAACAAATCTATCTGGAACACTGAATACATCACCAGTAGTTAATATATTGCATTCATTTTTTTTCTGGTAACTACACAGCTGATTTTATGACATCATCAGCAGATAATTATATTTTACGTCTTTACAACACCTATATTATTATATTATAAGCAGTTTTACATTATTCAGTGCTAATATTCTGAGATGTTTCTAGAAATGTCCAGGCAGCTTCTTCTAAGTATATTCCAGCTGTCTGACAGCCTGAAACTGGCTACAGACATCTCATCCAATCAGCTAACAGAGAATTATAATCTTCTTCTCAAAGAGGGCGGAGTCATTATCTATATAAATCAGCATCAGGTACTCCTCTGCTGCAGTTTCAGCTCTTCATCACCTGCACTCAGACTTCTCGTTTATATGTTCTTGTTTATATGTTATATGTTTTAGTCGTTAGCAAAGTAAAATTAGACACTAAACTGAGTGAGAAGGGACTGAGCTGTCAGTTTATTAGGTACACCTGCCTTGCACCTCCTTTTGGTCAATGCAGAGGTGTAACTACTGTAGAATAAGCGTTCGAAATTCAAACATTTATAGTTTCACATGGGAAACTGAGAATTTGTGAGAATCTCACGCCAACTTTTGACAGCACCAACTATTAGCTTGTAGGTCGGCTTGGGTTCCCCACTAAAGAAGTTTCCCTCAGCACCTCTAAACTTTCATAAATGCTCGTATCACCACAGAGCTGTAAATCTCGCTAATGAAACAGGAGTGATCGATTTTAAAACAGCGCCATGTTGCACAATGTAATTATTATGAAAAATAACCAGACAAACAGCACTAATGCCAGTATACAGTGGTTGGTTCCTACAGCACAATCTGATTGGTTGAGATGCAATATACCCTCTCAAATAACAGTGAGGTTTTGTTTCTTTAATTTGTTTTGTTTTTTTTGGCTAACTGTGTTATTCTGCTAAGGACTAGGAGCTAAGTAACAAATAGCTTTGTGCTCTTCTGCTCTGCTCTTCAAGGTGGGACTATAGAGGGGTTAAGTTATCAGTATAAGAATATGAGTTAACAACGTTAAAAAGGAGATTCATTTACATTTTGTATGGACTGGCCCGAGCTGCACTTCTCATGAAAGTGATGTAAATGTGGCAAGAATTTTAAAGATTGCTTTTTCTTTCTACAAAACAGGACTGTACACACAGAAATAATTTTCCATCATATTCAAATCATAATAAAGTATCTCTTCTACTTACAGACAGTAATGTGGTATGGACTGAAAGTAGAAGGATAATGAATTAATAAGTAATTCATATGAAACTACAATATGACTTAGATATCACTGGAGATAACTGTGACTTCTAAGGGTTGAAGTGGCTCTCTGTGTGTCAGAGCTCAATGTTGTGGGTTTGTTGGTGATTGACAGACGTCTAACAAATGTGAACAGGAAGAGGCCGAGCAATGAGAGCTGTGGACACAACCACAGTAAAGGTCTTCATTTCCTCCCCACAAACCTCAACTGCGTTATCTTCATTTCTCTACAGCACCATCATAGGGTCCATATATTACTCAATCATCTTCTTAAATCACTCCTTTTGGTCTATTAAACAGGTAAAAGTTTTATTCAATAAAAACTGCTTGTGTATTTCTAACTGTCTATATTTAAGCACTACTTTGCTTCAATCAGGAAGTGCAAACTGCAGCTCATACAAATGTAATTACCTTCACTGTATTATATGTATGTAATTACATAAGAGAAAATATGCTGTTAGAACTGTTATACACCTATTTACATGAGTAAAAACTGAAGCTGATGAGCATGTATGTTTACATAAGCTGTACTGCTATAATCCATCTGGCTAATCAAGGCTGGGTCTGCTGTAAACTATATGTAGATTAGAAAATAGAAACCTGTTTCCACCACTTGAACAAAAGGGCCACATAAAGTTTCTCCTAAATATGACTCATTATCTCATAATCATGATTTACTTTCTCGTTGTTATAAGCTAGGCCCTAAAGACATGGTAAGTATTCACTCTGTGTATTAGTATAATGTTATTTTGTCATTCTTGAAATATCATTACCACATCACTACCATGTCACTACTATGTTATTACCATATAATTACACTCCAATACTACACCACGACCATGCCACTGCTATGTCATTACCACATAACTACCATGTCACTACTATGGCTTTCCACATCACAACCATGTCACTATATCACTACCATGTCATTACCACATTACTACTGTGTCACTACTATGTCAATACCACATCGCTACCATGTCACTGTTATGTTATCAACACATCACTATCATGTCAATGCCACATTACTACCATGGCACTTCTGTCATTGCCATATCACTGCCCCATCAATACTACACCACCACCATGTCAATTCAATGTCATTACAACATCACTTCCATATAACCAGCATGTCACTACTATGCCAGTACCAAGTCAATACCATGTCACATCATCACTACGTCAGTACTACATGATTACCAAGTCACTATCATGTCATTACCACATCACTACCACATTACTTTTATGTCACTACCACATCAGTGCCATAATTATTTTGTCATTACAACCTCAGTACCATGTCACTTTTATGTCATTATTACATGATTTCAATGTCAATGCTATGTCATTACCACACATTGTCATTATGTCATTACAACTACCATGTCACTACATCACTACTATGGCACTACCACATCACTATCATGTCACTACTGTGTCACTACCACATCATATGTCACTAACATGTCACTACTATGTCAATAACACATCACTACTATGTTACTACATCAGTACAATGTCACTACTTTGTCATTAGCACATCGCTATGTCACTAATCAGAACAAAATCACTACCAGAACAAAAATGTAATTACCACATCACTAGCATGCCACACATGCCACTACTATGTAACAACCATTTCAATAGTATGTCGTTACTGCATGACTAGTATGTCAGCAGTTCACTACTATTGTATTAAAAGTTATTAACTGTCTCAAAATTAGTCTCTCAGTCAAATTCAGTTTAAGTTGGCTTTAAGATCACTAAAAATATTGTAGCAGCTCCTGATGTAATAACTGCATATGATGTAATTGCTATGGATAATGTAATAACACAAATGTTACAAAAACTCCTCATAATGTAACAAAACCCCCATGTAATAACATAATTACATTTATGTATGTAATATAGAGCATCAAGGTTTTTCATCCACTGGGCACCCCCTAGTGGTCTGCAGGCCTGTACTCAGGCAGAAGTTCACACTGGGCCAGTAAAGTCACTGTAGGTCAAACAAAAAAAAAGTAGAAAAAATAATCAAGAATCAAAGAACCAGATTTCTTAAAAAATACATGACCATTATAAATATTGACAGAGGCAGTAGCAATAAATAAATGTCATCGGTTTGAAAGATCGCAGCTACAGGCGCACTGCAAACAGTTAGCCAGCCAGAGATGAAGACGTTTAATAATAGCAAATTTTTGGTTTCTGTGATTGAACAGAAATGGACAATCTGATCTTTGTCAGGCCCTGATTATTCAGGTTTTGGAATAATAATTCAGGAATTATTAATAATGTAATAATGTCAGCACATAATGTAACAACACACAGATATCACCTGTTGTTTCATTTCGTTTAAATGGAAATGAAACAAATTTTTCAAAACTTTTTATTCAGTGCTAATATTCTGAGATGTTTCTAGAAATGTCCAGGCAGCTTCTTCTAAGTATATTCCAGCTGTCTGACAGCCTGAAACTGGCTACAGACATCTCATCCAATCAGCTAACAGAGAAAGATAATCTTCTTAAAGAGGGTGGAGTCATTATCTATATAAATCAGCATCAGGTACTCCTCTGCAGCACTTTCAGCTCTTCATAATCTGCACTCAGACTTCTGCAGCCATGGTAAGAAACAGCCTCTGATCACGCTATTAATACTAGTAATACTAATAATATATACTGTAATGTGTATGGCGTGTGTGTGGTGTGTGTGTGGTGTGTGTGTGTGTGCGTGTGTGTGTGTGTGTGTCTGTATGGTGTGTGTGTGTGTGTGTGTGTGTGTGTGTGTGTGTGTGTGTGTGTGCGCGTGTGTGTGTGTGTGTGTCTGTATGGTGTGTGTGCGCGTGTGTGTGTGTCTGTATGGTGTGTGTTTGTGGTGTGTGGGTGTGGTGTGTGTGTGTGTCTGTGTGTGTGCATGTGCGTGTGTGTGTGTCTGTATGGTGTGTGTGTGTGTGTATGTGTGTGTTTGTGGTGTGTGTGTGTGTGTTGTGTGTGTTTGTGGTGTGTGTGTGTGTGTATGTGTGTGTGTGTGTTGTGTCTGTGTGTATGTGTGTGTGTGTGTGTGTGTGTATGTGTGTGTGTGTGTTGTGTCTGTGTGTGTGTGTGCGTGTGTGTGTGTGTGTGTGTGTGTACAGGTTCTCAGTGGAACTCTGAGTGTATTCCTGCTCTGTCTTCTCTCTCTCTCTCTGAGAGGAACTGAAGCTAAAGTTCTGGACCAGAACAATCTGGCTACCATCATCTCTTACATTCAGGACACGTAAGCCAAAACTTACTAGTACTTGCTAACTGTGCCCTTCACTTCAAAAGTTTGGAATCAAAGCTCTCAACAATATAAAAGCTGGATGCAGGTAAATATGTCAGTTGTGAAGTCACAGGGAGGCGTAGGTCAGCCTGGTCCCACCAGATGGATTACCAATTCACACAGCCAGTTCCATAGTCCATATCGCTGTTGTCGGAAGAAAACCTTGTATATCTACTTTTGTTGTTTTTCAGTTCTTGACATAGTTTGATAAAATGTGGTCTGTGCAAAAGTTACGGCACATTTAAAATGTTCAATTTTCTTCCAAAATGTTAAACTCGGCAAACACGTTAAAATCGTGCATTAAAATGTACAAAAAACGCCATATTTAAGTGTGTTTTGCTGCAGAGGGTGTGTTAACTTATTTTCACCTGCTGTCACGTCCATCTCCGGCTTTACTGACACTTCCCTTGACAATCTTCTCCCGAACTCCAACTCCCAGAATCCTATGGGAGACCATGTGACTTTGAATTCTTAGCCACCAGAATATTATGGGGGCAGTCGTGGGCTGGAGGTTAGGGAACCAGCCTTGTGACCAGAAGGTTGCCGGTTGGATCCTCTGAGCCGACAGTACGTGACTGAGGTGCCCCTGAGCAAGACACCTAACCCCCAACTGCTCCCCGGGCACTGTGGATAGGGCTGCCCACCACTCTGGGCAAGTGTGTTCACTGCCCTCTAGTGTGTGTGTTCACTTGTGTGCATGTGGTGTTTCACTGCACGGATGGGTCAAATACGGAGGTGAACTTTCCCTGTTGTGGGACTAATATGGGTCACTTAATCACAGATCTGCCTGACCCTGATTTTTGACCTAAGCCCTTTTTGCTCAGTCTCTAGTTTTTTGACATGGCTTGTGTTTTGACTACTCTCTGGATGTCCCTACTTATTCTTGATCGTGTGTTTTTGGTATTGTCTGAGTATTGTTTCAAATTTGTACTGCCCTTTTCACGTTAAAGCCTCAAAGCTTGCTTTTAACCATGAGCGTCTGACGTCTATCCATTTTTAAAAAAAAACGGTAACATGTCTGGCAGCAAAAAGTTGCCAAACAGGTCCCGTAATTTTACAGTAAAATTCTGTACAGTAGATTACTGTAAAATTACAGCTTTTCCCTGTAAATATTCTGTGTAATTTTACGGGCAAGGTTTAGTAGAATTACAAATTTTCATCATTGAAAAACATGTCTAGAATGTATTAAAATCACAGAAATACTGCATAAATACACTTAAAGTCTGCAATTTGAGGGTTGCCATCTTTTAAATAACAGCGTAATTAAGTTATTTCATAGAATTATTTAATCAATTTAAAACAAGCAGCTGTCAAAGTACAGATTTTTAAAGTAAAATAAACATTATTTAAATTAACGATCACTTTACTGTTCTTTCAATCCTATTAAACATTTATCAACAGACATAATCTGTCAATAAATGTTCTTATCCTACAAATTTACAGTGGAGAACAGTTAAACGGTGGTTGATCCGCCTACCAACTATCACAATGTACTGTTTATCCACAAAATACCGCTGTTACAGCACTGGATTCTACTGGTTAAATACAGAAATACAATGCAAAATTACATGTAATTAACTCAATATTAAAGTTGATGGTTAATGTTTTTATTTTACCATTCAAATATTCACAGAAATTTGGCATTATCAAAAAATTATGTACCATAATATTGTGGTCATTTTGTTATATTCCAGTTTTTATACAGGAGTCAAATATACTCAATTACATGAACATTCAGCAAGTACCTTTTACTTCAGCAGATAAAAGGGTGGTGTACTTTAATTTTACATAAATACACAACAGCCAATACACTATTGCTCTTTCAAAACAATGTAAAACCTTTGGCCAGAACAATAAAACCTCAACAATAATACATACTTTCAATCTTTTTATTTTGACAGTTTAACTTTAACAATCATGACATCACCCAGCAACCTAGCGTTCAAAATAAACACCAAATAGGGGAATATGGACTGTAACAGCATGCACTTACTAAAAAAAGATTCAGATTCGAACTGCATAAGAAAAAGGTTTCTTGATTTCATTTACACATGCTCAAAACAAAGCCAGCAATTTGAAGGACTAAGCAATCACACTACACTCAGGACTCAGCTACACTGAATATGCCCCTAGAATGAGGACTTTTATTTGGGTAATACAAGCACAAGGGTCAATAACAGATCCTAGTACTGCAACAGTTATTACAGTATTAAAAGGGGCCGACACACAGCTGTTGAGGGTATTTTCAACAATGACAGTAAAATGGTGTGCTGACAATACAAACCCCGAAAAAATGGACATTTTGTAAAACGCAATACAAACAAGAATCTGTGATTTGTTCATTTTCTTAAGCTTTTATTTAACTGACAAAAGTACAAAGACATTATTTTTGATGCTTTGGCTGAACAACAATTGTTTTAGTGAACATAAATAAATTTTGAATTTGATGCCTGAAACACACTCAAAAAAGCTGAGAAACCACTGCTCAATGTGTGTGATCTTCAAGCCCTCAGATGGCACTGCACGAGCAGCGAGTACTTTAGGAGTATTTTGGAAAACCGTTGTGACTTAACAGTCCGCCGCTACATCGAGAAATGCAGCTTTAAACTCTAATGTGAGAAAGCTGTACATCAGTTCTATGCAGGAACACTGGTAAATTCTCTGGGCCCAGGCTCATCTCAGACGGTCTGAATGACAGTGGAAATGTGTGCTGTGGACAGATGAGTCCACGTTTCAGCTTATTTTGGAGAAAAATATGTTGAATTCTCCATGCCAAAGATGAGAGGGACCATCCAGACTTTTGTCAGTGAAAGGTGCAAATGGCAACATCTGTCATGGCAGGGGTCATCAGTGTCCATGGCATGGGTGACCTGCATATGTGTGAAGGTACCACTGATGCATTTATTGGGATTTTAAGGAGACATATGCTTCAAGACAACGTCAGTTCCTGGGAGTCCATGGTTATTTCACCAAGACAGTGCCAGGCCTCATTCTGCATGTGCTCCAACAGCATGGCTTTATAGACACAGAGTGTGTGTGCCTTACAGGCCTGGCTGCAGTCCAGATCTGTCTTCTATTGAACGTGTATGGCACATCATGAAGAGCAGAATCAGACAACAACAACCACAGACTGTTGAGCCAGAACTCAATGAGTCCTAAGCATGAATGGGCAAAAATTCCACTTACAAAACAAAACGGTAACAATTAGTAACTTCATGTCCCAAACAATTAAAAAGTGGTATTAAGAGGAAAGACAATGTAACAGAGTGGTAAACATGCCTCTGTCCCAACTTTTTTTGACTGTGTTGCATCAATTTCTAAAATTATTTTAAATAGGTTGGTCAGTAAAAACATTGGAAATCTTTTCTTTATACTGTTGTCAGTTAATATAGATTCAAGAGATTTAACAAATCACAGATTCTTGTTTTATCGCATTTTACAAAATGTCCCAACTTTTCTGGAAATAGGGTTTGTATTTTAAGGATTGGGACTTGATCACATCAAATATCTCATAGAACGACATGTCACTGTTCATTCTTACTGTGCACTTTTGTTTTCTTCAGTCTCAGTCCACTCACCCTTAACCGTCTCTACATAACAGTTTAAAGATCAACTCGTAGAAAGGTGACAGTCATCTGAGGAGGCGTCCGTAAGGAATATAACTCCAGGCTTTGAACACTGTGGGATCGCTCAATGATCTTGTTAGCTACCATTAAAGCAGTGACCACTGCCTCACCTGTGAAAAATGAAAATCAAACATTTCTCTGTTTTAGCCTGTAACCTGACACATCCTGTGCACTTTAAATCAATTTAGCATGCATACCACTGTAACGTAAAATGCAAAAAATCTGAAATCCTTATAACTGTTGTTGTTACTGTTATCATCAGTAATTGGAGTATTAATATCTGAATTAGCTGATCAACTGGAAGTTACTGACTTTTGAGGACTGATTTGCCACTTTTCTCTGCTCTATGTCATTGTCTAACCTTTAAGATTTTGTTGTCTGATAATTTCTAAAAAAAAATTAAATAAAAAATCTTGAATCATAGTATGTGCAAACTGTAGCAAGAGCTGAACGATTCGGGGAAAATATCTAATTGCATATGGATTTAAATGCCGTTATCTTCTATAAATTAATATAAATTATATTTTTTTGGCCAAGACGACCAGAATATCCACTTTTTCTGGCTTGAGGCGCTGAACACTGAGTGAGCAAGACTACCATTTAGTGGTTATCACATACACAGCACATGCGCTGATCAAACTCATCTACAGGCAGTTCACAAGCTCTGTATGATTTGTTGAAATTTCCTCATTTAAACCTTGTTAATTTATATTTTCTATAATAAATATTGCAGCTCTTGTGATTTAAATATAAGAGCGATTAATCTGTCAGGCCAAGCTGTAGCACAAACAACAACATTCCAGCCTTCATACTGCATGACTACTTAACTTCCTAATGTTAGGTGAACATGACCAAAAAACATACCCTGGTCGCGTCCCTTTGCTTGTAGGAATCTTTTGAAGAAGTGGGAACACAGCAAAATGTGTCCCTGATGCAGCACTGAATGGAGGTTTCCTGACAGGGGCAGAAGTGACCAAAAAACACCAAAAAGAAAAAGCACAAGATACAAAAAGTTAAAAATTAAGTTAAAATTGTAATTACTGTTTAAGTAATTCCCAAACATTTTCATTGGGTTTTCATTACTACCCTAGTCGGGCTGATAACAATAATCACATGTAGCTCTTTGTACCTATTAAGAGCTACATCTTTCACCTTTACTGTCACTGCCAGGTTAACACATTAAATAAGCTCAGTAATACAATAGTGACCACTACAAAGTAAGGTTTGACATTGTTTGCCTAAACTGAACTTAACAGACTAATGTACCTAAACTCGTTAAAGGGATTAACCAGGATTGCCAGGTCCAGCAAATTCAACTGCAAAAGAAAT